TTATAATATTTTCTTTTCCTCCCAAAGCTTTTCAAAGTTGAATTACCTTTTGTAATTTAGAGGTGTCTTTTCTAGTATTCGTTTTGGAACTAGTTGCTCTGATTTTCCGTACTTAATGCCGAAAAAATCTGTCACGGCCATAAAAAATGATAAATGGACTGACTAACAACAGAATGCAGGGAGATCAAATGAGCTTTTGTTTTAACTGTTATGAAGAACTTTTGGACGTATTTTGAGTCTTTATGTAAAACTAATAAGGGCAATAACAAGTACTCTCTTTGTCCCAAAATCATTGTCCAGTTTGAATTTTTATTTTTAGTTCAATATATACTAAAACTAAAAATTCAAAATGGACAATAATTTTGGTACGGAGATTGAAAGGAAAAAGAATAAAAATTGTATCCGTCGGCCTGGATAGTCCACTTACTCAAGTCGACGAAATAGTTGGCGGGAGGTTTTTCTTTTTTTGAGAGAGTTTTGTCTCCCGAACGAGATCTACCCGGCTCCAATCCGAATTATTCAGAAGAATGACTTCGGACACTGAATGCGTAATATATCAAAAAAATTATCTTTTCTTGTATGTAACAAGTAAATGGTGGCTGAATTTGGAACGCAGAGTTGTTAGTTGAATTGCAAATGTCGATGACTACCTCGACAATAAATAAGTACTATTTTTTTCTATAAACTTTTTCCTTCAAAGCTTTTGAAAGTTTTATGATATTTTATAATTTTGAAGTATTTTCTAATATTTATTTATGAACTAACTATTCTGCTTCTACATACACAATACTAGTGATGTCTGGTCGCGCAATGCGCGACCCTGGCCCAATATATCTGTAGATCTTAGAAATGTTTGTATTTGAAAAAAAAAATATTTTACATTTGCCCCGATATATTTTAGAAATGTTTGAAGAATTTAGAAATGTTTTATAAGTGTGATCATAGACATGTTTGTATTTGGCAAAAAAAAGAAAGTGTATTTGGCCCGGTACGTTTTAGAAATGTTTGAATATTTTAGAAATGTTTTATAAGTGTTACTTATTAAATATAAATAAACTTGATCAAGTATATCTCTTGAAGTAAATGTTAGACAAAATATAAAAGTATCCTAATAAGTTTAAATATTAGTAAGATCATTTATTGATGTTCTTCATTTGTCGTGCCAAATCAATACTTAGTTTTGGAGATTTATAATAGCTTTGTAGTAAGCTTCCTCCAAAGGGTATACGTTTAATTGTTGGAACTGTTTCTTCCAAAGGCTTATAGCTAGTAAAATATCAAAAATATGATTTTGAAACTGATTAATTGTTGAAACTGGTTGATCACAAATATGAGAATGAAAATTAATGTAAATTTGTATAGGTTTCAAGTTATAGCAAAAAAGAACTCACCTCACTATGGCAAATAAAAAAAATAAGTAAAAGAGTCCATTAAAAATTGAGAAATTTTTTTTTTTTCATGTAAGTAAAAATGATGTATAAAACACAAATAAACGTAGAAACATCATTCCTTCCTTCTCCACCTCAAATTCATAAAAGGCTTCCTCATAAATTAGTTAGAAGAAGCGACCGGAACCATTTATTAGATGAGTAATTTAAAAAAGTCCAAAAACCAAATCCAAAAAGTATATTCTTGAAAGTTCGAACACAAAAAAAAAAAACGCTTCATTTGCAAAAATAATAATAATAATAATAATAATAATAATAATAATTGGTCAACTGGGAGTATGAAACAAAATCAAAAGCAATTAAACAAAGAAAAAATACAATTCATAACTGACCATATACGAAAAAAAACTGAGACTACATAATTAAAAAGAAAAAAACCACTCTAAATGAATAAAACATAAAAAAGAAATTAAAAAAAAAACCACACTTTGTGATAAAAACCCAATTGATCAATTCAATTCAAACAGAACAAAAATCATACAAAAATTTAACGGGAACAAAAATCATACTAGCCATATAAGAAATCACATCATATTACCTGACAACGGCTACGGTAGCTGTAATGGGTGGACGCATAAAAATAATAGTAATAACACTATTCTTGAACGAGAAAAACAAAAAATAATAAAAGCCGTACAAATAATCTGTGGATATAAAATTATTAAATTTTAATATCTGTAATGGCACCACCACAACGGCCGAAAGCAACATCAATGAGAATTTTTTTTTTTTCCCTTTGTGTTTATATAGAGAGGTAAAGAGAATATTTTTTGAAGTCGAAATTTTATCTGATTAGGATGTAGTTGATCATCACTAATGAAAAGATTGAACATTCTAATAGGAAAGAAGTATATTTCACCACATATTCTCAATTAATGATTGATGAGTAATTTATTTTTATTTTATTGTGGAGAAGGGATTGATTAGGGAGTCGATTGTCGTGGAGATGGAGATGAGGATTTGTGTTTTTTATGAACCCGTGTTTTTTTTTTTTTGTCGAAAATAAGAGGTAGTGGTGGATTTGGACTGCATTTGCCTTTTAAGTCTAGAAAACTGATGTGTAAATAAAAATTTATTTTAAAAATATGATGTGGAAATTCCACATGGAAAATGGTGGTGCTTTCTCAAGTGTGGTTTTTTTGTTTCTAATATAGTAAGATGTGACCCCAAAAAAAAAAAATGAAATCACCGTCATTAAAAGTGATTATTATTTTTAGTTAAAACACTAACAAACGGGATGTAGAGAGATGAAATGAGATTTAAATAAACATAATGAAAATATTTTTTTTAACCTTGATTTTAAGTGAAAAAATATATATATAATTACTAACGGCCACATATAACAAGTTCGTATAAATAGAAAGCAAAAAAATGAATGAAAATTGCACACGTCGACTTTTTCGTCGATGTATGAAAATGTAGACGAGAATGTCGGCGTTAGATTTTTTTTCTTGACAAATTATTCTTTCTTGTGACAAGTCAATGAAGGCTGAATCCAGCATTGCCGAGTTATTCATCGACTTTACAAGAGTATTTTTCAAAGGCATGCCCGTGCTTCTTGTAGGGCTTTTTCATCCTCTACCTTGTATATTTTGTATCATCGTCTGAATTTCATTCATATTAATCTCACTTTTTGATACAGATATTCTTCTCTCCATGTTTATTGTTATCCCATTCAGTGGCGTATAAGATGCAATTGGCTGGCAACTCAAAGCATACCTCGAATCTGGGACTTGTGAAAGGACAACATCATTTCCCTTTCACAACCTATTCTTAATTAATCTTTTAAATTGCTTTAGCCCTTTCACTAAAATCCTTTTTGTTCTTTCTCTTGCGGAATGTGAGGAGAAAATATGGAATTTTCTTAAACATTGTAAATAGTTCTTGTACGTACATAGAATCTGTATATCAAAATAAAAAGGAAAATAATAAGGCAATAACACGTCTATAGAAAAAGAGGAGAAAAAGAATGAAAACGGTGTTTGTCAATATTGTCATCGACTTTCGCAAGTCAATGAAAGAGTCGCGAGAGGTTTTATACTCTTTTTTTTTTTTTTTGCCGATTTTCCTTACAAAGCAGCTGAATTTCATAGATAAGTGAATTTGAACTTTGTCATCGATTTACTTACAAGTCATTAACACACATAAGTGTACTATTTTTTCTATATAATTTTTATTGCTTTCTAAACTTTGAAAGTTATATCATCTTTTAAAATTTTTAAGTGTTTTTTCTTGTATTTATTTGGAAACTAGTTCTGTTGCATTTCCATATCAATATGTTGGGGAAAAAAAGCCTCCATCACCTTCATGAGGAATGATATTGGTTTTTTTTATTAAAAGGACGAACAGCAGATTGAAAAGAGTTTGTTTAAGAAAAAACACACGATTAAAGTTATTTAGACATATTTGGAGTGTTTATATTAAAAAAAAATTTAAAAAAAACGAAGACAATAACATGGTTACAAAAATAGAAGAAAAATCATTAAAATTGAGACCGTCCATTGAATCATCGACTTCTTTAAGTCAGATGAACAATTCGACACCTTTTCTTTGCCAATTTTTTTTTAACTTGTAACAAGGCTGAGTTTCAAATACATTAACATTTTTGTTATATTTGAAAATTTTCGATGACTAAATTTAGATTGGATTCAAAATCAGGTCGAATTTGAAGCAAAACTTGACAACCTAGCATTGTCCAAATGTTCTTGGAGAGAACATGCATCTTTAGGAAATCATCGAATTGATCTTGTTTGTAAAACTTACTCGCAGATTGGGATCGGGATGTAAGTTGTTGATTCTGACCCTGCAAAGTTCAAGACTTTCCAGTTTCCAGTGGCTCGCTTCTGGGAAACCTCCATAGATTTAGTGAACCATTCTCTGGAGTCACTACAACAAAAATGAATAGTTTAAACCTTTTTTGTGCCTCAATAACTGGTGTAATAGGATACATGTGATTCACATTGCATGGGACACTACTAAATAGTGTCTCCTATAATTGAGTCACAATAAGTCATAAAACATTTGAAAGTGTATTATTAGATTGTCACTTATTAAGACACTTTAAAGTGACCCATTAAGTAGGGTAATAGTTCACAAGCAACCCTACATAGTACACTTATGATAGTGTTTCATAATATGCATACGCTTTTTCATTTTTAATAAGACACTTTTTAGCAAATGTCCTAATACACATATAATGAGACACATTTTAGAAAAAAATGTCCCATTATAAAGATATTAATAACTCATTTTTGTTGTGGTGAGTTTAATTTTATGGTTAAATCAGGATGTTATAAATGCAATTTTTCTCCAATTTAAATGTGACTTAATTTGTAGCTTACAAGTGCTGTTTGGGCCCAATATATGTAAAGGTACAAAAGAACAAATTTTAATGAATCTATGGTTCGCTAAGACACAATTCGTTTGCATTTGGTCTTTAAGCATCTAGAGGACTTACATGCTTCGATACAATATCATTTATCACGGTTGTATCATTAATCATGTCATTTACTCTAGAATCAAACATAACATACAATCAAAATGAACTGCAGAGCAAAATGTTGTTCCTGAATAAGAATAATTACAGTCTTTGACAAATAAACACAAAGAATGTAGCTTAATTTAAGCACCCAATTACAACAACTTACTAAACAGATCTTCTAAAATCTACTCTGATAAGTAAGAATAAACCTCCTACCTATGTACAAATGATAATAAGGAAAGCGGAACAGAAACAGGCCATAGCGGAAGCTCAACAAGAAAGCAAGGTGGCCATCCGAAGAGTCTATTTCTTTCAGTCCTATCTTCATGTTTCTTCACAACACTAAACGCTTCCAGCCTCCTAGTTCTTGTGTTATATGACACTAGATCATAGTCGTCGAGTGCCAAATAAATAATATCTGCATCGTATGGATGGAAAGCTGCAGGTACAAACCATAATCTTTTAACCAATAATTTATCATCTACTATTATATCTTCCTTCTTGATGCTGTGCTTCAGAGACCATCGGCCTATAGTGTAGTCCTCAAGTATCCATATCTTGAAATCTGAGAAGCCCTCTAGATTATATTCACCTGCAACATCACAAAGCACGAGGCCTCCTTGTTGGGCATCGCACATCCTTTTTCTTCCCTTACAATAACTGATATATCCATCTGGAAAAGCAATCATCCGAAACTTCTCAGGGTTGTTGTAAGGATCATAGGCTATAATTCCAAGTTCGTGGGCAATCCAGTGCAAATTGTTGTTCAAGTAGACAACTCTCCTTAGGCCGTTAATAAGAAATGGATGATCAAGCTTCATGCTATATGCTTTCCATTCAGCAGTTTCAGAAGAGAAAACCTCCAACTCAAGAAAAGATTGACTCTTTGCAGGACAATGAAGTAATACAACCTTAAAACTTGTTAAAATGGTTTCTGCTTCAACTCGTGTGATAAGCCCCACACTTACTCTTTTTGACAAATACTTAGGTGAAGGAGGAAGGGCAAACCACTGCTTGGTTACAGGGTTACAAATAAAGTATTCCTTTTCTGACATGATACTCCCAGGATAGGCCCAACCATACAAAATAAACCCATTACTAACTGCTCTGATTACATAATAGACATCCCTCTTTGCATTTGCTTCCTGGGAATTCGGTAGAGGAAGAACATAGCAACCTGGTAATGACAAATTATTACCACAGTGGACATCCTCCAGTCTTCTATAATGAGGATACACTGACTTAGAACCGTCACAAATATACTTGGGAACAAATGCCCATGGGTGACAAGGAACGGCAGCTCGAGAAATGTAAAAGCGGTAGAAACAAGGATCAGATATGAAAGCCAACCAATGTTTTGATACGCATTTGCACCTGAATATCAACTTAATAGGAAGCCGTGAGAGAATTTCAGATAGTACCCAGTCAAAAAGATAGCCCTCATCAGTTCTGGTGGGACCTCCGCCATTTTTCATTTTTTTACACCGCTTCTCCTCCTTCCCAATACTACAGCTGTTAAGTCTCTGACGGATCACCACCTCAACAGTACTACAAGTTTTGGGCATTGAAGAGTTCCCCTGTAACACACACAAGACACAAGAAAGAAGATTAGTTCACCGCAATAGTATAAAGGGTAACAAAGGCGACACCAGAGATTAGTTCAACGATGGCCTGAACCGAATTTTGAAAACAAGAAGAACACAGAACAAGGATCCCAGCTGTAGGACACAAAGAAAAAGCCTTTGAAATTGACGCAGCACGGCGTGGGTGTAATTTCAACACAGATCGTAAGTGAAAACCACAAGCAGGCAGCAGGAAAAACTCAGGAATAATCTCAGAAAGATAGCTAATGGCACCGGAAAACTAAAAAGTAACAAACTAACACTCTTAGTCAACTTTGGCATCACACCTAGGCGTTTGAAACTGTATCAAACAACTATAGCAAAGCAAAGGTTATTGAAGGAAATTTTATCAATCAACGTCTAAAACTCCCTGAATAGGCACGACCTTATTTATAGACCTAAAAGACTTAAATCCAAAACTTACTAGGACTCAGATTTGGAATTCCATAACCTTCTCCCTTATTACCTAATAATACTTGGAAGCTAAATAGGAAACTAATACTTAAACACAAATCCAAAAACTGGAAATTCCTGAAATTCCTGCGATAATAAAAAATGACTGAAATACCCTTACTCTAAAATACTGAAAATTAAATACGAAAAATAACTTAAAATACTTCCAGCAGCTTTATTCAAGATCCCAGGAAGGCTCTTGTTCACCAAGATGATTCTATATAAGAGTTTGACCTTTAGAACCCCACCTAGTATAAAACTTAGTATTTCCATTAATTCCCATCAGAAATTATTATATAAAACTGAAATATATTTTTGAACACAAACGTGTGCGCAATCTCCAGGAGATTTAGGAAAATAACAGAGAGATTTTATAGTGAAAGCTAAAAGGATTCCTGGCTGCAGAAGAGTTCCTAGTTTCCTAAGAGGAGTCTATACAACTGAAAGTTCTGTAAAAAAGAAGAAACTAACAGCACAATAAAACCTAGTGATTTGCTTAAGCCTTCAGCTCCGAATTGCATTGCTAATTCTGGTACAGCTGCTGAACTTAACGGGATAATGCTTAAAGGCTGTGCTGTAAAACCAGGGCAGAAAAGGGGAAACAAAGTCCACAAATTACCAATCACAATAGTACCTTAAACCATCTGCAACTTGATTTCTGGAAATACTACCGGAGATCAACTTAACACTTTCGGATTATCCTGACTAGTGGTATTGCATTCAATGCTATGAATACTACAATTGCATTCCATGCTGTCCTGATAACAAATTATCCTATAAGTATAAAATGAAACTTTCTCATGTTTAGACATCACATGTTTATGCAGTACAAAACTGACCCGGATAACAGATTATCCTACAAGTACAGAATGAAACTTTCTCATGCTTAAACATCAGATGTTTGTGCAGTACAAAACTGAACAGAAGAATAAAGAGTTCTGCAACTTTATGTTTTCAGGATCGGCTGAACAAGATAATCCAAAGATGTGCCATCAAATAATTGAAATTAACAGAACAAAAGACCATTGGATTTTAATGATGTAATTGCAAAGTAAACTATAATACAAATAGTGAATTTCCAGCGGGTAGAATCCGTGTAAAAATAACTAACATTCCCACATATTAAACAGGAGAGAGAAAGGGTAATCCATGTCGATCCGAAATCAGGTAAATATTGAACACCGAAAAACAAATGGTTTAAGATTACCCAGATTCCGTTGGTGTTCCATCCAGCATATATCTCTGAAGAACAAAAGGTAATCAGCAAGGAAATAAGGGGGATAACGTTTTCTTGAAGAACAAAGATTCAATCTTTTTTCTAAAAAAATTAAGCAAATTAAAGAAGAACTGCAAAGAACTAATGATAAAATTGAAACAATTTCTTCATCGACAGTGGGAAGCAGATTAATGACAAGATTGAAAGCATCAACTTAAAAAAGTTAATAATAAAAAAACATTAAATCGAAGCAGGAAGAAAGATGGAGTCTTTGTCGAGACCCACAAAAGGAAATCAAATGGGCTCTTCTAAACATTAATGGAAAAAAAGAAATACTTACAGATGAATGGATTCTTGATATCGCCCTGTGTCTGATTTCCTTTCCCCACGAAATATAGTCTTCGTAAACATCCCCATTCTTTTCTTCATCAATTAGCAGTCTTATCTCCGATACTGAAATGGGAGAATAAACATCCAAGTTCTTCACACTGAAAGCCATCTTGGTTGCAGATCAATAACAATTTCAGTTGATCGATAAGAATTTCAGAGAACGATTTTGAAAATTTTCGAGGGCGAGGAAGAAGATGACCGTTGTTCGGACTGGGCAGTGGATCCTTATGGAATTTGATTTTAGGAACTGTGGACATAGGCTACTATTATTGGATTTGTGGGCTTTAGGGGCGTTATTAGTCCAATACGATTCAGGTGAGGGTTCGGATTTTGTAAAATAACCTTTATAAGTAGTTGGAGGGGAACGGGCTAAATTTTACAACAGATCGAAAATCTCAATCGTTCATTTACGACTCCGCCCACAGAGTACTCCTCTTCACAGTTAAACCTTCCATTCCAAAATTATTATTCAGCTTGAAATTTTAATTTTATTAGTAAAAATTAAAAATATAATCTGGATAATAATATTTAATTAATAAAAAAATCAGATTGAGATAAAAAATAAAAAAAAAAACTTTGACTTGGTCTTCTCTCTGAGTGCGGGCGATTACACACTAAGTGTGTGAGAAATCTATTAGCTTCTTCGCCGCGGTCAGCATCAAAATGGTGAGAAAGTCACGGAAGCAAAGAGATCCAGATCGAGTTGGAGCTCAGGAACAACCAGATAAAGAGCGATCGAATCAACGAGGAACATTTACACCGATTCAGAACAAATCAGCTCAGGTATGTAAACCTAGCTCTGCATTTAATGCTGTGTCGGAAGCCAATTCAATTCTAGAAAACTTGTGTAAGAAGAAAATAATTGAGGTTGGGAAGGGTTCTTGAATGAAAAAAGATGAAAATCCGACTGGTGAAATTACTGAGCAGAGTAGTAACAAGTGGAATAACTTCGATATGAAGAAATTGCATAGAGAAGAAACAAAGTTGAGCTTTATAGAACCTAAAATGGTCAAAGATCGAATAATAAGCAAGATTGGTATGGATGAAGTTCAGCAGGAGGTTGAGTATTGGAAATCTGCTTTTTACTAGTTTTGTATTAGGTGCAAATCCACCGTTTTTAGTTATTAATGGATTTGTATGTAGAAATTGGGGAAGATTGGGAGTGGATAAGGTTATATTGCTTGAAAATGGTTGTATGTGGTTCGTTTTACTACTATGACTGCTAAGGATGAGGTGCTTAGATATAATTTGTACCTCTTTGATAATAGACCATTCATAGTGAAGGATTGGACTGTTGATAAAGAAATGAATGTGAATGATAACTTAAAGTACCTGTGTGGATTCAACTACCTAAGTTGAAATTGAAGTATTGGAATGCAACTACTTTGAGTAAGATCACTAGTGCACTTGGAAGACCAATTGAAATGGATGATATGACATCTCAAAAGTTGAGAACTAGCTTTGCCAGAGTACTAGTAGAAGTTGAAATCAAGGAAAAAGTGCTAGAAAACAGTGTGGTTTGAGGATGAATTTGGAACAATGCAAAAACAATTTGTTATCTATGAGTAAAAACCGGTCAAATTTAGCAATTGTAAGGGATTTGACAATGTGACTGAGAAGTGCAAATACCCTGTTAAACAAGATTGGCAAACGAAACTAGCTCTAGTGGTGGAAAAGAATGTGGAAAAGGTCAACCAACCCGGAAGCAACAAAGCAGATAAACAAGGAAGTCCTATAAATGAGATCACTATAATGGAGAAAACTGAAAATAGACAAAAGTCTCCAAATCAGAAAGCTAGAGGTGGGAACAAGAGTCCAGATGTCGGAACTGATAAAGGAAGCAGTGATTTGGTAAATGAAGGGATTTTGATCTTAAATCAGAAAGGCATCAGAATCAATGAAGGCAGAACAAGTGATAAGTTGAAATCTGTGAATGAAATTTGTTACAATGATACTAGTCACCCTTTAATAGGGTCTAGTAATCATGAGTACTAACCTTCTCTATGTTAATAAAGTTGGGTTGGCTGGGCTGTTGGAAACTAAATTAAGCAAGGAAAAATTTGATGAATAGATGGGCAGAAGATGGACTGAATATGAATATATCAGCAATCATACAGATAATTATAAAGGAAGAATATTAGTGGTGTGGAAGAAGGGTGAGTATACAATACAATATGTTAGAGTAACCAAACAGTTTATTCACTGTGAGGTTATGGAACAATGCAAATAGTTTTTATTAACTGTGATTTATGCTGATCATACTTTTCAAGGTAGAAGAGGGTTATGGGATGAATTAAGTAGTTTGGTGTAAGGAGGTCAGACTGCTTGTTTAATGATGGGGGATTTTAACTGTGTTATAAATAGAGAGGAGAAATTTGGTGGTAATCAGGAACCAAGTGAAGATTCAGAGAAATTCAAAGAGTTGATGGAGAATTGTGACTGTGGCAGTTGAACGCTTATGGAGGAATCTACACTTGGACAAATAGGCAAATTGGTAATCAAAGGATCTCTGCCAAACTAGATAGAGCACTAATAAATGATGAATGGATGTTTGCTTTCCCTGCGAGTTATGCAACTGTTTTATCAGCTAGAATATCTGATCACAATCCTTTAGTGATTAGATGGGGAGGAAATAGGCATGAAGGCAGAAGATCTTTCAAATTTTTCAATATGTGGATTGAACATGATGAATTTGAGGACATCATAAAATCAACTTGGCAAGTGAGAGTCACAGGAAGCAGACGGTATAGTGTAATACAAAACAGAAGCTTTTGAAACCAAAACTAAAGGAATTAAAAAAAAATGGCAAATATTGAAGATCGGGAGAAAAAGTGGAAAGCTAAACTTGATGTTGTACAACAGGAGCTCATAAGAAATCCTTCAAACAGTGATCTTCAACAAGAGGAAAAGCAAGTATTGCACGAATATGTAAAGTGAAATAGAGCTGTGAAGGACAGATGGATTCAGGAAAGAGACATGAATTCCAAATTCTTTCATACAAGTATAAAGCAGAAGCAGAACAGGAACAGGATCAGATAATTTATAAATGATCAAGGGCAGCTAGTGTAGGATTGGACAGCAGTTGAGCAACACTTCCTAACATTTTTATGAAACCCTGCTAGGGAAGTAAGTAGTAAGAACTCCAGCAAGATGTGAAGTTTTTCAATCAGGAGTTAATATGACTGTAGAACAGTAGGTTCTTCTGACTGAAGATTTCACTATTACTGAAGTTAAGGAGGATATGTTTGACATGGAATGGATAAAAGTGCTGGTTCATATGGCTATAATAGTGGATTTTACAAAAAGATGTGGCATGTGCTTGGAGAGGAAGTAAGTGCTGCTGTGTTGGAATTTTTTCAGACTGGGAAAATGCTTAGACAAATCAATGCTACTATGATATGTCTAATTCCCAAAACAGAAGCTCCTAGAAGTACAGCTGAGTACAGACCAATTGCCTGTTGCAACACTTTTTATAAGTGTATATCTAAAATGTTGTGCAGAAGACTCGGTAAGGTACTTCCAGATTTGGTTGATCTCAACCAAGGTGCCTTTGTGCAAAAGAGACTGATTCTGCACAATATTTTGCTAGCACAAGAATTAATCAGGAAATATAAAAAGAAGAACTGCTCTCCTAGTTGTGTGATGAAGGTGGACTTAAAGAAGGCCTATGATTCTATACATTGGAGCTTCCCAATAGAGATGTTAAAAGAGTTTAAATTCCCACAGAAATTCATCAACTGGATAATGGTGTGTGTGTCCACTAGTACTTATACCATTAATCTGAATAGAAGCATGACTGGTTTCTTTCAGGGAAAAAGTTGGTTGAGACAAGGTGATCCATTGTCTCCACTGTTGTTTGTTTTGCTAATGGACAAGGTGATCCATTGTTGAAAATGGAGGCAAATGCAGGGAAAATTGTGTATCATCCTGAATGCAAGAAGTTGCAAATCACTTCTCTGAGTTTTGCTGATGGCCTTCTCATTTTCTGTGGAGCTGAACTTAATATAGTTACAGGAATCAAAGGAGTATTAGATCAGTTTGCAGCCACTACTGGGCTTACTGTTAACATGGGGAAATCTAATATCTACTTTGGAGGTTGTACAGAAGATAAAATATAGGAGTTACAACAAGTGATGTGGTATGAACAAGGGAAGTTTCCAATGAAGTATTTGGATATGCCTGTGTCACTTACTGCATGGACAAAAGGAGATTGCCAGGTGCTTGTGGATAAAATTACAGCTAGGATTAAGAGTTGGACCTCCAGACACTTGTCCTATGCTGGTAGAACTTTATCAGTAAACACAATGCTGCTGAACTTGAATGCATATTGGGCCAGAATTTTCATGATTCCCCAAAGTGTGATGCAACAAGTGATCAGTGTATGCAGGAACTTTCTGTGTGAAAGAAACAGAATGGTAAGAGATGGGCTCTAGTATCTTGGGATGATATCTGTTGTAAAAAGAAAGAAGGTGGACTTAATTTGAGAGAGCCAAGGCAGTGGAATTTTGCAATGCTGAGGAAACAGATCTTTGATTTTACAAAAAATAAGGAAAGTCTGTGGATAAGACGGATGCATGAATACTATCTTAAAGGAAAGAATATTTGGGAGTATCATCCACCTCAGGATTCTAGCTGGCATGTTAAAAAGCTGATGGAGATATGCTAAAGAATGGTGTACAGGATGATCAATGGATGGGAAATGGAGGTAAGTTACCATTGGATCAGAGGGAGGAAGGATAAACACAGGTCAGCAAGTATCATTTGGAATTCCTTGAGTTGCCAAAACACTGGTTAATCAGTTGGTTGGCTTAGAGAGGAAGATTATTAACTGCACAGAGATTATAACAAATGCAACTTGTAGTAGTTGATCATACATGTGGATTATGTGAGAAAGGGGTGGACAACATAGATCACTTGTTTTTCATATGTGAATACTCTCAGGAAATAGTAAAGGAGCTAAAAGAATGGCTGGGCATAAGAAGAGAAGTGAAAGCTCTGAATCCTTTCAACATCAGATCAATATGGGGGTTTAACAAAACTAAAAAATCGATCTTGTATGCCTGTCTGAATGCAACCATTTATTGCATATGGACAGAGAGGAATACCAAAAGAGTGGGACTGTAGAAGCTTGATCCAAAATCCATGTTTGAGCTGATGAAACAAGAAATGAAGTGCAGATTGAGGTTTAAATTTCATAATGTAAGAATGCAGAAGAAATTTTTTTTTTTTTTTTTGTTGCAGAAGATAGGCATCAGTTTTGATTGACAAATCCAGTGTAAACAGCATTATACTTGTACAGTGAT